CTATAGCATCTTACTACGCTGACGGACAGTGTCTGTAATGGGGTATGTGGTGGGGACTTGATAATGGGGGGAATCTAGTAACCAGAACGTTGCTCGTGTAATTGTATATTAATGACACCAAAATAAAAATAGATAAATAAATAAATAATAAAGTATACACAAAAAGTAACAGTTAAGATTACAGGATGTTAGCTGGAGGGTTAACAGCTAGCAGGGAAATAAATGGACAGACATTCAGGTCAGCATGGGAGGCATATGCAGACATTGGTGGATTGCTTATGTAAGATGAAAACAATGCTTCCCCTCATTGGGGGAAAAAGCTATTCAAAGATAGCTGCCTTGATTAGCTTTGGCTGCAGAGCTCCTCACAGCTCCGCCTTTTGCCTGCTTGCTTTTTCCTACATCTTTAATAGGTGCTGAAATGCTGCAGTGAAAAGGTATCTCTGCACATTTGACAAAACAGTAATGACAACAAGCTGAAATGCCCATGCCACAGAATGTTTAAATTCAGATATAGGATATTTTCCTGTGCTCCTGCTAGAACTAAGGGATGAACTTTAGAAGCCGCTTTGCAAAGAGCTAACAGCTTGGGTCGGCCAGAAGGCAGGCTCACAGTTAGTTACAGATGTTTTCCCCTTCTTTACCAAGCACTAAGATCTCCCTGCCTACTCAGGAGGACAAAAGTCACCAGAGATGGAATCAAGACAAAACTAATGCAAAGCAAAATTCTCTCCAACACAGGGATAAATTGGTAAATTCCAAGAAAAAAAAATTTACTTACGCAACCAAGGCACCTAATCAGAAGACAGATTATTCAAGGAACCTACCGACCCATAATGATATTTTCAAGGGTGAATACTGTTATTCTATGGGTGAAGTAATTGAAAGAAGAATGAAAAAATGACTCAAAATGAATGCAAGAAAAAAGTGAATGAATGCATCAAAAAAGGCGCTAAACAAGACTGACAAATTTTTGCAATGTTGTAACACCATGTTCTCTGGACTAAGTAAGCAAAGGGCGGCGACCACCTTCAGTACAGGCCTCTGTGGGCACGTCAGGGTCTAGCTGACAGCCACAGACACTCCTCCAACTCAAGGCTGCATCTGCAAGAATGAGGGGCAGAGCACTTGGGCCCAGACAGCAAGCAAACGTGACTGGGTGGGGGAACGCAGCCTCTGTGAGTGTGAAAGGGCCCAAGCGCAGCTCAAAGACCCACAGCTCACGTGTTGAAAAGCATGTCTATGCTATTTTATTCTAACTGTGGTAACAAAAGATTAAACAAGGGAGCATTTCAACAGAACATACTTATTATATATCTGAACCTGATACGCTCATGTAAGCTTATGAGAATCTCATAAAACTAGACAATCACTCCTCTCAAATAAATTCTAGGGTATAATGTGACCAATTCTTGTCAGATCACAAATATGAAAGATCTGGCATGGAGAAGACGGTCAGTAAGTAGATATATGTCTCTGTCTCTCTGTCTCTCTCACACACACACACACACACACACACGTGCACAAATGCACGACCACCCCACACAGAGCCTGCATTTGGAATGAGAACATTTGCTTGTAAAAGTCCTAATCTTTGGAATTGGGGCATCCACCCCTAGCAGTTGTCTTCTCCCCATCTCCCCTCCTCACACACCTTGGAAACCCAAATTCAGCCCAGACTTTTTTTTTTTAAGTAAGTCTTATCAATGAATTGGTACATCTTAATACCTAAAAAACAAAAGCCTAAGAGATAATGGGAGTAATTCTTATTTTCCTTTAACCTCAATATTTTTTTCAAATATAAATTTGTTTTTATTATATTAAACATTAAGAATATGTAAAAATCATTAAGGAAGCTGAGGTTAGGGCAAAATCAAATGACCACAGGATATTGAGGAGTGTAAAAGTTTAGAAATGACAAGGACTAAGAATGCAGAAAAGAAATATACACACCCACACACATATATATACAAAGTAAGTTAAGTCACAGGAATTTCAAGTTGATTTTTTAAAGGTCTAACAGCCCTTTTTCTGTCATATCATATGCAATAAAACTGAGGCATATGGTCATTTGATCTTCAGGGCTATACTCACCAATTTTAAATTAAGAAATAATTTGAATATTCATGTCTTGCCAATGGGTTTCAGCCCCAGGCAAGTTCACTATAGATTCAATGAGACCAAAGAAATGACAGTAGAAAGTTCTTGGGGTGAAAGGGTTTATACCCAACTTTATTCCCACAGTGGCAGGTCAGTCCCTAGAATCCCATCCATGCAGCAAGCCAGTCTCTGCCTCTGGACCTTTCTATCCCTGCAGCCGTCTCAGTCTCTGTCCTCGGTGCTGCCACCACTCCAGTCTCGTCTCTGCTCTCCTGCAGCCCTGCAGCCGTGCCACCGTGTCACCCAGAGCACTGGGCGGAGCTCTTCACATATAGTCAATAACATCGTATTGCCCACACATGAGTAGTGAGCAAGCCAACCAGGGCCAGGTGAGAATCCTGGCCATGGGAATCTTCACTTGCTCCACAATTTGGAAAAGCAAAAAGATTCTTTCTAGTCTCAATAGGGAGAAAGCAGAAAGTGCCACAGAGTCAAATTAGTTTAGCCTTTCATAATGAGTTGGCTGAAATTACTAGAGATAATTTTAACTACTTTTCCTTCCATACCATAGAAACAATATGGGCTCAATTTAGAAAGAAGAGTTGACAGAAAAATAAAATACAAACTATCTGTAGTACTATTACCCAGAGATAGCCACCACTGGCATTCATTTTGACCAACCTCATTTCACACTTACGTTGTTTCAATTAATATATTTGACTTTAAATAAAAATTACATGTATGTGTTTTTTATTATAAAATCCTTTTCTTTTAAATTTTAGTAACTCTCACAATGCCTGCCTCATAGCAGGTACCAAATACATAATTCAGGACATATTATATCATTTTTATTATTTTCTGACTTTTAAATTCCTATTGATTTCACTGATGACTGCTGTCTTCCAAATACAAACTGAAAAAACTCTGAAAACACACCTAAAGAAAGTTCCTCTTCTAACACTTCAGTTTTATTTATTACATCAAGTAACCAAATTGAAATCTATAAAAATCAATCAAAAATACAAGAATTACTCCTTACTATGCACAAGGCATATCTTCTAAACAGGAACCATTTTTCTCTATGTTAACATCAAAAACGTAGTTGATATGAGGAACTGATTGCACTGAATCTAAATTAAATTTTAAGCATCATTTAAATTGATTTAATTCAAATAAAATTCGCCAGTCACTAGTGACTAATAAACTGAGCTCTCATGACTCATATTCAGGAAATGTTTAGCTACATATTGAAAACTTTAAATTAAGTAAGAACAGTGTTACTCAAATTCCTTCAGGTAGCAGGGTAGCTAGAACTCAGCACTTTTTGCACACCACCTAAATACTGATTAGGCTTCAAAATTATTAAATAAATAAGTTTTTGCAAACAGACCCCTTCTTACTAGATTTTATATATACCTGAGAAAAATTATGGGTGGGGATGGGAGAGAATGCTCCATTATTAGATGTTAGTAGCAGGACTCCATTCAGACTCTATCTCCAAAGAACAGTTTGAGAAGCTCTAAACTAGAGAGCAATAACAGCCACATTTGCATGTGCGATTTAAATTAGATCCTTTAATGCCTTTTTAACATTTAAAAATGCCAGCAGTGCCTAATCACCTCCTCAGTCATCAGCCATCTGATTTGCTCTTGTCTTCTGCCTTTAGAAAACAGATTTGGTTCCATGGAATAGTAATCTGAGGTCACCAGAGCCCTACGGGTAATAGAGCTCCTGTACTGACACACCACAGTCTTGCTTTCTGATTTCATCTAGTTAGGCTGGCATGGAACTGGAGCTACCATTTAAAATGCCACTTGCCTCCACCTTCACCCTGATTTTCCTAACTTCTCAAATACTGACCTTTGTTTTCCTGAACTCTGTGGGGAAAATGGAAGTTCCTCACCTGCCCCTAAACTGCTTGATGACGTAACTGGCCTGCTGCTGGCTACAGCTTCCACACCCATAAGCAGTGAGCTGTTACTCACTGAGTCACTATATAAGAGCACTGGGCAGAGGCAGAGACAGGTGGATTACAGACCTGCAGACTGCTGGATGCAGACATGATTCTTGTGGGTGACAAACCGCAGGGAAAATAAAGCCGAACGTTCCATTTTCATCTCTCAGTCCCATTGAATCCATAGTGACCTTGCCCAAGGCTGAAACCTTCAGGCAAGACAGGCTACCACCCACGAAGACTGCTGTGTAATCAGTTTGGTTTGGTGATTATTTCTGTCTCCTCCCCCACCCCACCCAAAGTGCAAGGGTGAGGTATTCTTACTCTGTTTCTTTTCAATGAGCAACACACACAGTGCTGGGCAAAGAACTCTTACAAATATCCGACCTGTTTTTAACTGGGTCATTCACATCCGTGACATTTCTGGGGCTCATTCGATGCTCCTCCCTTGTGAATAATGTCTTCAAACAAAGCATCAGTGCTCTTTACCTTACAAAACTTCCCTTACACCTTGTTTGCTTCCCAGTTTATTTTCAGCTCTTAACAAGGCCCTCAAAGGAGAGACTCAGCTCACAACGTGAGCAAGCCAAGCACTCAACTACAGAGGCAGCAAAAAGGGAAACAAACCAGAAGGTGCGACTCTTTTAAGAAAGAATATTCAGCTTGGGAAAACTTAGAACTAATCTTTCTTTCTTCCTTTGTCTCTTTTTCTCTCTCAAAATACGCTAAAATATATTTACCTACCTACTTCCCTGCTTTATGGTGTATATTTTCATGATGAGTCAGTCTGTATATATTTTTCACTTTTACAAATTTAATGTGCCACAAAAGTCTTAAAAAGAAGTCTCTGAAAAATATATTTCTGTAGTCAAATTATTGACCCATTTTTATAATACAGAGGAGACTCAAAAAAAAGAAAAACAAGAAATCACATCTGTCATCTTACCATACGCAGGGGAAAACGTGATATAGTCCAGGTGACATGTGTTATAGGCTTCAATTCTAACATCTTTCCAGATACCCTGAGTGGGAAAGGATGGCCCCCAGTCCCAACTAAAGGAACACTGCTCCTGTAATTTCAAAGGGAAAAAAAGACAAATTGATTGCCATGAAATTTAAACATTATGAAAAACCTTCTTTTAAAATACTATATAAGTGTAGATTAGTTTGCTAGGGCTGTGTCTTGCCAGTGGGTTTCAGCTCTGGGCAAGTTCACTATGGATCTAATGTGACCGAAGAAATGACAGTAGAATGTTCGTGGGGTGAAAGGGTTTATACCCAACTTTATTCACACAGTGGCAGGTCAATCACTAGAATCCCACCCACTCAGAGCGAGTCTGCATGCAGCAAGCCAGTCTCAGACTCTGGGCCCCTCTGGCCCCACAGCTGTCTCAGTCTCTGTCCTTGGCACTATCACCACTCCAGTCTCTGCTCTCCTGCAGCCTTTCAGCTGTGCCACCATGTTGCCCAGAGCACTGGGCAGAGAGAGTCCTTTATATAGTCAATAACGATGTATTGCCCACACATGTGTAGTGAGCTAGCCAACCAGGGCCAGGTAAGAATCCTGGCCACAGGAACCTTCACTTTATCCACAGGCTGCCATAACAAAATGCCACAGATCGGGTGGCTTAAACAGCAGAAATGTCTGTTCTCACAGTATGGAAGCTGCAAAGTCCAAGATCAAGGTGTCCAGCTTGGTTTCTTCTAAAGCCTGTCTCCCTGGCTGCAGGAGGCCCCCTCTCACTCTGCCCTCACGTGGCCTTCTGTGCACACCCATGTGTCCCTAGTGTCTTTCTCTGTTATCCAAATTTCCTCTTCTTGTAAGGACTTCATTCACACCAGACTAGGGACCACCCTAATGGTCTCATTTTAACTTAATCACCTCTTTGAAGACCTTATCTCCAAATAGGGTTACATTTTGAGCTACCAAAGATTAGAACTTCAACACACAAATCTGTGGGTATGGGGCCATACAATTAATCCACAACAGTGTGTGTGTGTGGTGTGTGTCCAAAATGGCCCACACTGACTTGCTACTGGTATTAGTGCCCAAGTATAATCCCCTCCCCTTCAGTATGGGTTAAACCTAGTGAATCACTTCTAACCAACAGAATACAGCAGAGGTGATATCACTTCCAAAAGTAAGTTATAAAAGGCTGCACCTTCCATTTTGGGAACCCTCTCCTGCTTCCTCTTGGCCAAGGAGGAAGATGCCTGCCATGCTGTGAGGCAGCTCTGTGGGGAAGCTCACATGAATGAGCTTGGAAGCTGCCTGGAGGCTCGCGCATCACCATGAGTGAACGTAAGTCAAGCCTTAAGATGACTGTGGCCCTTGGTCCACAGCTTGACTGTGACTCAACCTTGAGCCACAGGCACCCAGTTAAGCCACAGTCAGGTTCCTGTCTGACAGAAACTGTGAGAATAAATGTTGCTTTAAGCTGGTAAGTTTTGGAGTAAGTCGTTACCCAGCAATAGATAACTAATACAATAACTAATATATCAATCTACTCAACATAGTTAAATTTGGCAGCAATGTTCTAAGAACATAAAATCTAGTTATATACATTTATTCTTCAAAAGTCTATTACACTGAAGCAACACAATTATTACTTAAACTTCTCCAAAATATCTCTGAACCTACTATTGTATTTAAAAGTAATAACTACATTGTATTCAAATGTAATAACTATAAAGAATGAGAAAACAAACATATTGAAAGATAAAGATATTTATAAACAGGTTTAGAAACCTCCAGCTAGACTTGCCAACCCCTATTTCCTCCAGTATGAATTCAGAAGTCCTTGTTTTTGAACTGGCAAACCAAAACAGTTCAAAATTAAGACACTGACACAGGTGCCAGGGCAAACATATTATCCAATCTTTTTCAGCCTGGTTACCTGTCTCTCCCTTCAGACACTCTATTTCCATATTACAAAGGTTCAAATTCAAAAGCAGGAAATGGTTCCCTTAAAATAAATCCCTTTTCAAGAAGAACTTTTCTAATTTCCTTTTCTTTAAAGAAGAAAATTATTTTCAAAACATAGTTAATTTAAATGAGTTGAAGCTGTAAGTTCAACTTCTAAAAAGGAACAAACACCAGAGGAAGAACTAAGATCTTTCTAATGGAGCATTTATAGAGTAGAGCCTGAGGATTTGGCCAAACTTCTTTAAGTGTTATTTCTTAAAGTCTACATTTATCTAAAACAGAAAGAAATTAGTTTCCATTACAGACAAAAACAAAAAATTAAAACCACTGCTTAGTATCTGCATGTGTCTAAATTCACCAGTTACATATCGGATTCCCGTGTTTGGAATGAAAACCATCTTGGGAATATTCACTAGAAAACTTTTAAGTTCATATATGTTATCCTTTTATTAGGGATAGGGAGAAAGAGACAAATATATTCAATCTCTTATAAGACAGACTGTTTTCTCCAACAAGGGCTACAAATGCAACCTCTCCAAGTAAGTTTTCACTTATTCAAAAAATATTTGTGAAGTGACTTCTATGTTACAGGCTAGAAGTACATCACATATAGGGACTTTTACATGGAGAACTTGAAGGGTGACTATCACTTGTGTAGTGTATTTAAAGAAGGAAATGAAAGCATCCCTTTCAGAAGAAACATGTACAAAGGCCTCAAGGTGCAAAGAAATCTGATGCCTTCCAGGATATGTAAACAGAACAATGGGAGAGGTGGGAAGAAGACTGGAAAAGTGGACATGGGCCAGACAGAGCTAAGAGCATTAGACTTTAGCCTAATGGCAATAAGAAACTGTTGAAGAGTTTTAACATGAAGGTGAGTGCTGTGGTGATTTTTGTCTGAAAAGAACATTCTGGCTGTTTCATGGAAAATTAATTGGAGGAAGTCAAGGGAGGCTGTAGGGATACCACGTAAGTGGCCAGGGCAATATTTCATGCAAGAAGTTATGACAGACTGAACTCAAGCATGGAAGCAGAAATGGAGCCTGGGCAGCTTGAAGAACTATTGAAGAGGTAAGATCCACTTCATTAATAGGACTTCATATTTGACTGGAGGAAGGAAAAAAGAGAAAGGGAGGTGTCAAAAATAACTCTTGGGTGTCTGACTTGAGAACCACTGTGGACAGTGTTCCATTCAGTGAGACAGGGAGCCCTGAAAGAGGGTTTTGGTCCCACATGTGGTATTGGCCACCGTGAGCTTTAGGTTTCTGTGAATCAACCAGGTGAGGATGACAGGCAATCGAGTATGAAGTCTGGAATTGAAGAGAGTTCTAAACTGACGATACAATATTAGGAGTCATTAGAAATTCAATTCGTTATTGAAGAAGTATTAAAAAAAAGAGATAGCCTAGAGAGGGTATGAGAGGAGAAAAATGTCCATAACAGACAGAGGCCTGAAAAATGGAACTTAAGAGGAGCAGGTTCATCTGGACGAAAAGACTCAGAAGGAACTCTGAGAGACAGGTGGGAAACAAGGAGGATGGTGCAAAATATTGCTAAAAGAGTATCTGAAGCAATGGATCCCAATCCAAGGTGGACTGAGAAGGAAGCAGAGACTACAGGGGACATATTGAGGCAATAACACAAATTTGGGTACATTTAACCAAACTGGAGGAGGTGTAATTTTGACCTTAGTACTTATATTAAGGAAACTTAAGTCCATCCAATCTAAACAGAGCCACTTAACTTAAATAATTGGAATTTATCAACGGAGGTTTTAGTAAGTGCTGAAAAGTACTTATTATCTTCACAATGAAACCAATGATTACTTGTGTTGTTAAAACTAAATGCCAATTCCTCAAAAAATTAAAAATAGAATTACCATACAACCCAGTTGTCCCACTTCTGGATATATACCCATAAGAATTGAAAGTAGGGTCTCAAATATTTGTACCTTCATACATAGCAGCATTATTCACAACAGCCAAAAGATGGAAGCAACCCACATGTCCATCAACAGTGAATGATTAAACAAAAATGTGGTATGTATATAAAATGGAATATCACCCAGCCTTAAAAGGAAGGAAATTCTGACTTATATTACAACATGTATGAACTGTGAGAACATTTCGCTAAATGAAATAAGCCTGTCAAACACTGTATGATTCCACTTATATAAGGGATCTAGAAGTGTCAAACTCATAGAAAGAATGGTGGTTGTCAGGAGCTAGGAGATGGGGAAATGGGGAGATATTTTTTAATGGGTGTAGAGTTTCAGTTTTACAAGATAAAAAGTTTGGGAGACTGGTTCCACAACAGTGTGAATACAGTTAATACAACTGAACTCTACACTTGAAAATGGCTAAAATGGCAAATTCTGTGATATATGTGAAAATATTTTATATAAAAAACTCAATGTCACATAGAATATTAAGTCGACCATGTATTAGAATAAATCAGAATCATCTAGAGTGAAATCAGATGCAAGAGAAACAATCACCTTGCAGATTTTATTATCTTTTTATTAGATTTTATGAGAACCTAGCAGTAAAATATAAGAACATATCAGCAAATATATTAACATTTGCAGAAGGCACCCCAGTAACAAGAATCACTAATAAATAAGAACCTTATAATCTGGTGAAAAACCAAATGACCTAAATGTTAAAAAGTAATTTGTAAAGTTACATCATCAGGCTCCTGTTTTTCTTCCTTTCCTGACTTTCCTGAAGTTCTGAAGTGAGCTTCAGTGAGGAAACCTAGAAAGATTCTCTACAAAAATTCGTATCTTCTGGTTCTTCCCTCAAGTTTTCAAATCCCACAAAGGGGGCAGGAAAGCCCTCGAGTCTTCAAACAAGCACTTCATATGCCAGCACATCCCACCCTCAAAGCTAAAGCCCTACCCATTTTTGGAGACCATTACCTTTCGAATAAAGTTGACATGGCATTCGCCCTTCTGTACACGTGGAGGGCAGTTTGGGGGCACCTCGTACTCAGTGTGAGCTTTGCTCTGCTGGGCCGCATACAAGACCGGTGACTGGAAACTCAGCTCAACGGAGTTCACATCCCTGACCACGCTGGTAATATCAAAGCTCTGAATTAAAAGGAAAGAACAGACATGGCCTCATGTGCAAAATTTTAGATACAGGCAAAAAGATGAAAACTAGACTGGAGATCCTTAGGTTTATTTAGCCTTTTTGCGTAAGGAAACACTTCTTGGAAATAGTATCACTTAATTGCTCGCTCTTAGTTGTAACTGAGCACATTCTCCTACCCAAATGTAGATTTCTAGGTTTCCCCTACTATTTTCACAGACAGAAGATGGTCCTAGGTAAGTAGATCAAGCAGAAAGTATCTTTAGCCGTGGAATGTCTACTCTGGCTATTTACATATAAAGCCTTAGACTGCCCAGGATTTCCTAGACGCCTCTTGACAACCTGATTCTTGGGTATGAATAGCATGTTTTCTAAGTCATAAGTTATTTTTGTTTTGAAACGTCTACCCTTGAAAGGGAAGTAGATCAGGAGATGATCTTGTAATTATCCCAGAAAGGAAGGAACATTTTCTTTTAAAATATTTTGCCAATTGTCATTTCCCATGAAACTCTGGGTCACCAAATAAAAGCGACAGGAATAGCATTTGTTGAATAGCTCCCATGTGCCGAGAACTGTGTCACTCATTTTATATAATTACATAGCTTATTAAATCCCCACAGTAACTCCACAGAGTCTATAGTGTTTCCATCATTCTGCAAACATGAAGAGAGACAGTGCTTACCCAGGGCTGCAGAGAGCATGCCTGCCTGCGCAGCAACTGTACGCCTTTCTCTACTCACAGTAACAATGGACACAAACACATGGAAGTGGGGTTTTTTTTAACCTGATGTCATAATATACTTACGTATCTTTTGAACATGTTGTCTGTTTTCCCAATAGTAACATTATTGAACAGGACTTTTGCAACTGTATCAACACCCTCAAAAATCAAATTTACTTTTTTCCATTTGCTAAAAAAAGAAAAGATTTTTAAAACAAGACATGTAAAACATTAATGTAGATAAGTCTTTTTATTAGGAACTGATAAATATTAAAAGAATAAGTAAACATGAAATAAATATAATATATATTAATAAATAAAGAATAAATCTTTCACAGAAAATAAACATTTTTAAAAGGCAGTTTCCAGTGAAATTTTCAGGCACAGTGGTTTAACACACTTTTTTATGTTGAGTGATCCAGCTTATCTTTCTTCATAATATTTCAATCACCATAAAATCATGAGCACACTTACAATTTCCAAATGCACTGACTTTTTTCTAGAACTTCAGGAAGTTCTTATGAGAACCACATTAAATAACAGATACAAAACGCTGTCACAAACTTTTACCTTTACTGACACTACATCAGGGAACAACATTAGCCAGCTAACAAGTACCTGTGAGTGAATGTTATGTGCCCAGCACTCTGCTAAGCCTTACTGGGAATTAAAACACTCTGAATTTAAGGAATCTGCAATCTGATTGACATTCAAGCCAAAAACACAAGAAACAAAAGAATAGTTCTCCATCTCTTCTACTTTGTAGTTTAGCCTTATTGGACAGACAACAAGAGCTATCAGGATTCATGTCATAAGGAAAAACTTCAAGAAGGAAACAAGAACTTACAGGATAATAGGCTTTGATAATTGTTTTTGGCTTGAATGTCAATCAGATTGCAGATTTCTTAAATTCAGAGTGTTTTAATTCCCTGTAAGGCTTAGCAGAGTGCTGGGCACATAACATTCACTCACAGATACTTGTTAGCTGGCTAATGTGTTCCCTGATGTAGTGTCAGTAAAGGTAATAGTTTGTGACAGCGTTTTGTATCTGTTATTTAATGTGGTTCTCATAAGAACTTCCTGAAGTTCTAGAAAAAAGTCAGTGAATTTGGAAATTGTAAGTGTTTTTTAAATGTGGTATCTCCATACAATAAAAAACTATTTGATAATTTAAAAAAATGAAATACTGGCAAATGTGACAACATGGATGAAATTTGAAAAATTAGCTAAGTGAAAGGAGCCAGTCACAGGGACTACATACTGTATGATTCCATTTCTATGTGAGTCCCAGAAGAGACAAATCCATAGAGATAGGAAATACATCAGTGGTTACCTAGCTCTGCGACAGGGATGCAGAGGGCAAGATATTGAGAGTGGAGAAACACTACGAATGGGTATGGATTTCTTTTAGGGATGAGAAATATGCTATAAAAGTGATCATAGTGATGGTTACACAACTCTGTGAATACACTAAAAGCCACTTTAAGTGTGTGAATTGTATGGTGTGTGAATTATGTCTCCATAGAGCTGCAACTTGTGTTTAATGAGTAGAAATGCCTAGGCGGAGGGTAGGCTCCCCCTCCCCCAGAGGGAGAACAAACACCAAAGTGCTACCAGCATCATGGAGCGCTGACAGCATCGGTCACACTGGCGGGCAGAGGTCTGACTGATTCGGGTCAGGAGTGGGTGGCAGTGCTAAGGGGAGAGAGCTGGGCAGTTAGCAGGGCGGGGTGGGGCGGGGCGGGGCAGAGGACAAAGAGTGGTACAGGGATGGGCAACATTCAGCAGCATTTTTACAGACAAGCAGAGAAGATTGAACTTGATTTGCCAACCAAAAAGGTAGACACGGTTGCTCCTGAGTAAGAATGTCACGGTAAAATCAGTATTTTGGGAAGATGAGCCAAGTGTTTCTACATACAAAAGACTGGAGAATAAAAAGACAAGGCAAGAAATTTAGTTAGGCAGATTCACTAATTCCAGGCACTCACCAATAAAGGACCAGGTAAAGTTGAAAACCTGGAAATGAGGATGAAGGGTCGGGATCAAAAGGAATGACAGGCAGAAATAACAGGACTCAGAAACTGAACACAGGGAAAGGAAGAAAAGGTGTGCAAGAAGACACCTAATCCAGACATTTCAAGTATGTTCTGGTATTAAGAGCCTGGAGTGCAGGAGCACCAGGACACTCAGCACCATATTCTTCCTGGCTTCTTTTCTCATTCAAGGCACTGGTCATAAAAAAGGGACAGAAGAATTTTTTTTTTAACAATAATGGCAACAGATAAAATTGGGTTACATTCTGCTACATGGAACATTACTGAAAACTATACCATGCTTTTCCTCTTGGCCTTAACATGACAAAAGGCCAATGCCATGGTCTCAATGGCTGTAATACCACACCAAACAAATGGTGTATCTCTGATCCTACTTCACCAGTTATAAATATATACACGCTATTGATACTGGGGCACTGAGAGAAGGAAATGCAATTAAAACAATGGACTAAGTCTAGGTGATTACATTATAACCACTGGAAAAAAGTGACTGAACAAGACCTAATTTGTGACCAATGATCTATGACATCATCCTCATATGTAAGTCAAAAGATAAGTCATATATTCACTTTTAGAGTACAGAGCTTAAGTCTGACAACTCCCTGTTATGCAACCTAAGCAAACAAAACATTATTGCAGAGACAGAAACAGAAAAAAAGCTCAAATGATAAACAAGTAAGTATATAGACACTAATATATATCTGTATACTTACCTAATGTCTATATATATGCATACATACCTAATGTCAAAGGGGATTTTAAATTTCTTCCTATAGGTCCAGTTATCCAAGGAAATCCATCTGTAGTTAAGGTCATTAAATCTGTAGTATGGATCCTGTTGATAAAAATTATGATAGATAATTAAATATGCAAAAACTTAAAAATTAAACAAACATGAAATAAATTATTAATGATAGCTATTCATCACCTAAGAATTAATTAATTCTAGTATAAGCATTTCATCTGCCACCACATCCCACCCTCAAAGCTAAAGCCCCACCCATTTAAGAGACCACTACCACTCAAAGTAGATAATGGCATTTACATACTAAAAGTACTAAAATATGTTTTAAGAAAAAGTCCAACAGAGCACCTGAAATGAAAGGGCTCTGAGATGTAGATAATGCAGTTACACAAGCAAAGGACATGGGTGGAGATTAAGATTGGCTTCCCCTGCAAGAATCCAACACAGAACCTCCAAGATACTGGCGGAGGATGCAGGACAGAAAGACAGACAGACTGCCTCATCCAGGGCCCTCACTGCACTGACAGCTGCCACTATCTCAGCTGGCCTCAAGGCGGAATGCTTCTCAGCTCCCAAAGGGCTGTGCCACGCCCACTCCTTGGGTTCACTTGGCATTTCCAAAGCCATTTTTCACTCAGCTTTACACAGTGAGCACAGAAAGGATCCGTGCAGAGAAAACGGAGGCGGCACAGAAACCATCAGACTTCAGGAACTCAGGCTGTCCATGTTATCCCAGACCAAGTCAGCAATCGGCAGCCCACGGGCCGAATGCAGCTAGCGGCCTGTTCCCGCGTGGTCAGCGAACTAAGAAGGGACATGTATCAATAAATAAAGTCTTACTGGAGCACAGCCATGCCCCTCCCTTTACACATTATACTTTGCCCTTTACTGAAAAGGGTTGCCAACCTCCACCATAAAAGCCCAGCCTGCTGTGTACTCACGGGTGCTGTTTCATCAGAGTGTCCATCCCCAAGTCCTCCCAGTCACAACCCTTATGTCTTGCTTAGCCTACCCATTTCCCACCCTTTACTTCCCAGACAGGGGCTCCCAGTCAGCCAGAAGGCAGAATGGAAAGTCCTAAGTGAAGCTTTTTGGATCCCCTGGTTGTGCACAGCAGCAGGGCTATACAGAGCTCAAGAGGGCTTCTCCCCTCGGACGGGCCCGGGGCCAAGGGTGATTTGCTTAGAGACTGCAACTCCAGAGGGAGAAAGAAAAGCCAACTGTGTCTAAGTTCCACAGCAGTAAGGGCTGGATGACCACGTTAGCCTGGTGATGGCCAGTGGGCCACCTGCTCAGAGCACAAATCTATAAGAGGCACTACATCACTAGGTGTGTATCACAATGGGAAGGAAGCTATCTTCCAGAAACCACTTCTGACTGGAAGAAATATTTTGACAAGCTACTAAGGGAGGGAATAGTTCATGACATTTAATAACAACAGATAACAAACTGACTTTTAAGGTCTAACTAACAGTGAGGTTTTATTCTGCTGAACAGGGTGCGCCAGGCCCAGACAACTTGTTTCTTTTTCTGCTCTTCCCACCAAACAGAACTCAGCCTCTCCAATGAATAAACACAGAATAAATACTTAAGGACCCACGTTTGAAGAGACACGAATAACTGGTGTGCCCATGTGTTTGCACCCAGCCTTATTTATAACTCTACACCATAGACT